TTAAGCTGTAATCCCATGTTAAGACCCATAGAGCGGGGGGAGGGGAGGAGGGGGAGGGGGTAGCCGAACGATCCTATAAACCACATGAATTGTGGTTAAAAATAGAGACCATCACTCCCTTATGTTCACAATTGTTTGCATGTAATCCTTAACAAAAAAAATATTTACAATAACAGAATAATATTTTATTTAATTCAAAGATAATAAATAAATCTGTTTGTATAGTTTAAAACTGAAATATATATTTAATAAAATTAAATGCAAACTTTAAACTTTAAAAAAAACTATAGCGTTGTATTTTAAAAATCAGTAATAAATGATTTTGCTATTTATTTATTACAAGTATGCGTTTTGATTTTCTGAAAACTTATTATACGTGAAATTGCTTTTATAGTGATGCACCTTTGAAACTATAACATTGTCTAATTGAGTATGAATTTGATTAGTTTTATATTGATCTCTTTTATAATTAACAACACAAATGAAATGGATTTAACCGGAAAAGTGGCATTAATAACAGGTTTAATAAATATACTATTAATTTATCTTATAATCAAAATTATATAAATTGCTAAAAATAGGCTCGTCGTCGGGCATCGGGCGAGAAGTTGCCCTAAAGTTGTCGTCTTTGGGCGCGGATGTAGTGATCACTGGTCTGGAAGAGGACGGCATCCATGAAGTGGTCAACACATGTCAGACACAATACAAACGCAGAGCAATCGGAGTTTTTGGTGACTTAACTGACGATACGTTTGTGAAGAGTTTGGTTGACAAGACTATCGTTGAGTTTAACACAATTGATATTCTAGTCAATAACGCCGGCATTCTTATGAACTCGGGCATTGAAAACCCGGAATACATTAACACATTTGACCGCATTATACGAGTCAATGTAAGAGCGATGCAATTGTTGACACAGCTATCGGTGCCATATCTGGTGGCCAGCAATGGATGCATTGTTAACACATCGAGTGTGTGCGCAGCTAAGCCGGTACAATCTTAACTATTAGCTGCAATTATTGTATTAATTTATTAGTATATTGTTAAATGTTTGTGAATGTTTTAATTATAATTAATATTATTGTATCATAGATGTCGGCATTTAATTCGTATTGCCAGTCAAAAAGCGCAGTCAATATGTTTACCGAGTGTTTGGCACTAGAGTTGGGACCCAAAGGAGTTCGAGTCAATAGTGTTAAGTATGTTTGTGTGCGTGAGTGAGAGAAAGAAAGAAAGAGAGAGAGAGAGAAGGAGAGGGAGGTGGACTACCCATGTATATTGTTTAATTGTAATTTATTATTTCTTGCATTGCGATTAGCCCTGGTGTAATTAAAACCCAACTATTTCGTAATGTAGAGTTGGTTAAGCAAATATTTGAACGTGACTACTCATTGGGTAAAATGGGTGAACCGCTAGACGTGGCCAATGCGGTGGCATTCCTCGTCACACCGATGGCTGCCTTTATAACAGGCGCTCACCTCCCGGTCGACGGCGGATATAGACTTATATAGACATATAGTTTACTTACAAATAAATAGAGAAAAGAACTTAAGTATAAAGTTTTTTAAGGAATTTCTTACTGGCGTATTTCTTAAGTTATCAAGATCAGATTTTATTGACAGATATGGAATCTCGAGACGCAATACATAAAATTTTTTTAAATATCTAGTTACATTTTTTTGAATAATTAAACAAAATCTACCCAGCTAAAACTACACTATATAAAATTTTTCTGACTTTACGACTGGATTAAAAATTAGTTGATATCTATATCGGCGTTTTTCTTTAAAATTCACAATAAAAGGACAGGATACTAAAAATAACAAAATATTGTGTAAAATGTTGCTTTTTTGCAAGAAAATTATTCGAATTATTCAACTTAGAAATATTGTTGTTAACAACTTTACAAATATTAAATTTATTGATATTATCTATAAATTCGATGTAGAATTTGACTCATATTTCGGATTTAAAATATTCTACGATAAATATCTAATTAGTCAACAGAATCTGTCCTAACGGTTTTTGTGATTACAGCGAAACTAGAAAAGCTAGATTAAATTTGTAAAAGTAAAATGAAAATTGTTGGGTCAAATAGATTTGCCATGTTTTGTGCCCACTTCAAGGTGGGCTAGAAAGGGGGCGAGTATGCTAATCTTTAGAGGAGATGTCAAAGACTATGATACCAAAGTTTAATAAAATTCAAATGAATATTATTTTGTAGCGAGCAAAATATTCAAGAAATTTGACATAATATTTGAACAAGAATAGCCCAATGTAGACTTTTTTATACTACATTTATGTTGTTATAAAATGTCGACTTCAGAACAATTTTTCCCATAGACCTAATGTTAATAAAATTAACAATTTCTCGTAGATGGCTGAATGGATTTAAATCAAATTATGCTATCATAGTCATTGACATCTCCTCTAAAGATTAGCATACTCGCCCCCTCCCTAGCCCCCCTTGAGGTGGGCAAAAAACATGGCAAATCGATTTGACCCAAAAATTTCTGTGTTGTGATCACGTGATTTCAATAATTATTTGATACAAAAAACTAGACATGTAGACCTTCGTTTTACTTTTTACAAATTTTATATAGCTCTTCAAGTTTAGCTGTTATCACAAAAACCGTTAGGACAGATTCCGTTGACTGATTCGATACCATTTTTAATCTGATTAAAGAATCTTAACCAACGTTAAATCTACATTGAACTCATATATAATATCAATAAATTAATAAATTTGAAGTTTTTGACAAAAATATTTCTAAGTTGACTAACTTAAAAATTATTTTGAAATAGACATTTACAAATGCTATTTTTGTACTTAGCGTCTAATTCTACATAAGATTATAGTATCTTTAGATGACGGGTACTGGTAACGGATGACTTGGACTATGAGTTAATATAACCTATAGTGTGTGAATGTCTTTCCATTGCATTATTGCTTCTTTATTTAGTACTACTGAAAGAAAGACTTTTGTTTTGCTTTAATATTGATATTTTTAAAGCCTTTAACACAACTAAATAAATGCCGCGATTATAGATTATACAATTAATATACGTAAATTAATTATTTTAATAATAGGTATCTTATTGAAATGATTATTAAAATAGTAAGTTGCATTTTATGCAAAATCACTAAAGCACTTAAATGAAATTATAAACATTTGATTTTGCAATTATAAATTACATAAAATCGCGTTTAAATTATTATTGTGAAATTATAAATTAACTTATTTGGAAAGTAATGCAATTGTGATGTCAGGGTATGAAATGCAATTATGATTTTAAGCAATGAAAATGTAATTATGATTTTAGGCAATGAAATGCAATTGTGATGTCAGGCTATGAAATGCAATTATGATTTCAAGCAATGAAATGTAATTATGATTTCAGGCAATGAAATGCTATTATGATTTTAAACAATGAAATGTAATTATGATTTCAGGCAATGAAAATGCTATTATGATTTTAAGCAATGAAAATGTAATTATGATTTCAGGCAATGAAATGCAAATATGATTTAAAACAATAAAATGCAATTATGATTTTAAGCAATGAAAATGTAATTATGATTTCAGGCAATGAAAATGCTATTATGATTTTAAGCAATGAAATGCAATTGTGATTTAAAACAATGAAATACTATTATGATTTCAGGCACTTAGTTATATTACAGATGGAGGTACGAGTATAGGCTAATTTATAATCCAAATAGAGATCGACAAACTAAGTGTATAGAATAAATCACTTATATCGGTGCTTGTAAGGGGCTTTTGTTTATAATTAAGGTTGATAAAACATAAATTTATTTTTATAATGACTTTTGACTAAATATATTTACTTTTGACTCTTTTGACAAATTTTATTACTATCATGCGGGGTGGGTGCTTTAGCAGCTACTATTTGCGTCAGAAATCATTGTGACCCTCAGCGCAAAAAGTACTGCATTCATTGCTATACGTATTTAGTAAATAGTATTTACTTAGTGCCTTTAAGAATTGTATTTTCAAAATTTAATTTTTAATGCATTGTTAAATATATATTATTTTTCAAAGTTTTTCATTGTTATTACATCTTACTGTTTATATTTTTAAAATTTTCTAATGTTATTGTTGATATTTTGCAATTAATATTATTTTGTTTGTGTCCATAGATTTAGCATTACCCATGTTACACTTATATCATAGACATAAGCTATCAATCGATTATAAAGCATTAATCCAATAAACTTAACATCGTCTATAGGATCAGCATAAGTTCCATCAAGATAACATTACCCATAGACTTAACTTAATCCTTACACTTGACATTGCTCATCGAATTAACATTACATATGTTAACCCTATATTATAGACTTAAGCTGTACTCCAATAGAAAATAATATTAAAAAGTCCACCTGTTTGTTTAGCAATATCTAATGTTTAATCCCTTAGGGTGGGGGAGGCAACAAGCATCAATGTACCATAAACCATATATTTGATAAATGAGTTGTGGTTATTAATAACATAAAATAATACATTTTTAACATTAGATTGGTTTATATTTTTCAAGTATTAAAATAATTTTAATAGCAGTAATTAATACTTTAAATAATATAAAAATTTGTATTAAAAATAATAACATGTTTATAACAATTAGAGTAAAGTAGTTGATTAATATAACTGATATTTTATTTATTTTATAAATTTGTTTATCTAAATGTTAGTTAATATGGCAACGATTCTTCCTTAATCTTTTCTTTTATCTCCCACTTAATCGTTGCCCAACCATTCCCTGTTAATCTTTTTTTTTCTAATTATCTCTTTAGTTACAGTATGCTATTCCTATATTATCGCCTACCTTTCTATACTATCATTTCTACTATCGATATGCCACACTATCGTCTTGCCCTACATTCATGTTATACACTCTGTTTCAAAGTTTCCTTTGTTCAACTCTGTTTCACACTATTTCTATTTTCCTAATGATACTTCCTTCCCCCAAAAGGCGCCTTTTTCTCTCTTCCCCCAAAAGGAGACTTGGAGCTCTTTGTAGCATAAGCCTTGAGACTTGGCAGAACCAATCATACTCTGCCCTCTCTTCTTCTCACATCGCCTAAACCTTGAGACTTGGCAGAGCCAATCAGTTAGCACCACTCTTCCACGCACGCATGGTACTTTACCTATTCCCACCACTGCAGTGGCAGCCATTGTTGCTCTTTATAAGGCAGTGCAGCCCTAAAATCTACGTTCTTCTTTGTTCTTCTTCGCTTGGCTCTCTCTTCTTTTTAGCTCTCTTCAGAGCTCTACCGTTGGCTCAGTTGTAGGCAGTAGGCCTACGTATCATTCCCATGTACTATTCACACTATCAATTCCTATATGTTTATGTGCACCATATATCTAAATAAAGTAGACTTCTCGAGAAACCCATTTGTACGATTATTCGACAATTAAAGCACATAGATAGGCCTGGGGCCTATCCAGAGACGAAATGAAGAAACCCAAGTCGACTTCACCACCAGGGTAAGGACATCGGTCCAACGCGACCGACACAAGGGGTAAGTCGGCTCTGAAGGAGCCAACAATTGATACATAGGATGAAATAGCAAATGAATAGGGGAACAGTAACGGGTGATCGGTTCGGGAGGCCTTGACAGAGAGAGCCCTTATATCAGTAAATAGGAGAACCCCTCGCTGAACCGTGAATAAACCGTTACAATATTTATATTCAAGGTTTATAATTATAAGTCCATAATTATTATTAAATGAATAAGAAACAACCAAACGATATTAAGTATCTAATGTATTTCCTATAGACAATGAGTAGTAGTCATAACTCAATAAGTACTGGACCAATTTTTACAATTTATATATCAAATAGTTCAGAATAAAATTTAATCCGAGACATGTATCAGGATTTTTCTTATAAATGAGAAGAATCAGATTTTACTCATATTGAAGAGGTAAAAATACAATAATTTATAACCTTGCTATTTAAAAACTACCGATTCAATTT